ACTTTCAGCTACAGATTTCGTAAACTAGTGAGTATTTGCAGCAGAAGAACGGTGTATAACGGATTGACTCAAAATAAACTACAGTGTAAACAAAAGGTTAAACGGAAATGTTGCTGATCTTCAACCTTAAGGGGATAGTTTTTTTTTTTTTAAGTGGGATCGTATGAAGTTCTTATCTATAGTCAGTGTGTTAGCTACATTAGCTGCTGCTCAGCAATCTCTCAGTTTGAGTGACAGCTTCTTGATGTGAGGAAAGGTGTGGAGTAGATCCATACCTGCAGGGGACAGACATGAAAGGTACCTCTCCAGCTCTCCTACTTGTGATTTTCCCAACTCCATGGATGCAAAGAAGTCGTCTTCATCAGAGAGACTGCTGTTTGTGCTGGTGACATCATCCAAGTCGGTGTCGAGGTGATTTCTGATGTAGTCAAGGCCTGTGGCAAGATAAATCGTTTTTCAAAATAATAAGGATTGCACATTATTCTTACCCTTCTACTGTATAGGCTGTCAAGCTGCTGATGTTTGACATTAAAAGCTACCTCAGCTTCTAACTATATTGCCATCCTGTGGTTTGTCAGTGACACACTATAATCCTAAATGACAGTAACATTATACGGATTTATATAGGTCAGTGTCTACTGGTTCACATTTGAATTGATAAACAAGTATATTTACCAGCATTTAAGATGTTCTCCTCTGTGGTCCAGGATGTTCTGAATCTTGGTAGGAGTATTGCTGCTGCAATCAGCTCAGGCTCTTTCATGACGTCTCCAAAACGTTTCTGGATCCCTTGATGCAGGGCGTGAACAAGAGGTGTACACATTTTGCAAGATGATTCCAACCTCTTGGAGCTTGTCCCGCAACTGGTAAAGTGTTGGCAGCAGGAGGCCCATATGCACAGATGATTCCCCTTGGAGGATATTAAGGGCCATGGCAACAGGCTTCATCACAGCAGACTCGACAAAAACCCATTTCAGCTGGTTGAACCTATACAATAGATGTAACGTAAAAAATGACTATTTCTGGTACAAATGTCTTTATTATGCCATGTTGTACATGTTAAATACACAAATAAATAAAAATAAAATAAATACGTTATAATTATTTGCATTCAAGTACATTCCACATTGTTCAAACACTCATGCAAAGCAAAACTTAGTTACTTGAGACAATGATTCACCCATTAATCATCAAGGTTTATTATTTTTATTATTCTTTAAAACAAAATATATAATTTTGTCAACTTACATCTTTATCTTTAATGCTGCAACATTGCGAATTGCTTGTTCTCCCTTGTCTCGGGATCGCACAGCGAGGAACAGGGAGCTCCAGCGTGCATCTGATTGGGGTCGGGAGAAAATGCACTTGCATTCATGTTTCCACTGTTTTCATGATGAGCATGGTTACCTGCTGGTTTATTCCAAAGAGCATGATCTTTTGCAAAAGCAGACCGGAACAGCTCTTGTAGGTTAGTTTGCAGGCTCCTCCTGCGCACGTGCATCACTTGGATATTAGATTGAGGCGATGGCATGCACACTTTTGGATGCTTGGAAGTTGGTAACTCAAGCCTGTGTTGGGGGCTGTGGCTCAGAGCAGAGCGGTCGTCCCCCATTGGAAGTGTATGGTTCGTCCCCGGCTCTCCCTGGGCACGCTGTCGAAGATCTTGAGCAAGTACTGAACCCCAAATTGCTCCTGATGCATAAGCATCATCCGTTGTGAATTGTGTATTGGATGGTTAGTTTCTGTTTGATGGCTTTGCCTATCATTGTGTGAATGCGTGTTGAAAGGGTGAATGTGGGCACGTAGTGTAAAACGCTTTGAGGGTCGGAGACTAGAAAGGCGCTATACAAAGTACAGGTCCATTTACATTTACCCATTTGTCTCAGAAATAGCAACCATCTTGATACTCCACCTCTGACTCACTCTGATCTTCTGTTGCCTCAAGTGGTGGAGTCACTCCTCCTCTTGTCATTGGTGGCTTCCTCCCTCTTTTCCTCACCATATATACAAAAGCATTTCAGGAGTTTGAGCCACTGTCTGTTGTCCGGTCACTTTTTCCCTGATGTGGTACTCAGAATGGTATCTTCCTCTAGTGCAGAGCAAGGACGTCAAACGATGTGCGAGCCCTTTGGACAGATGCTCTACAAGCCAATGCAGCGGAGTGCCTCTCCAGGTAAGGTGTGTCTATCCAGTGACAGCGTGCACCTAAGTAGCTACGTTGTCTGGCAGCCCAGCAGTCTGTTGTGATAGCGAACATAGTTAACAGCACTCAGCTGTTTTGATGATTAGCTCTTCTTGTGTTTGCAGCTTCTTGTATTCTTGTGCATAATGTTCCTTGTCATTACTTATGAGGTTGCAAGTGTTCTATCAAGTCTTGAGGATGGTGTTTCAACCACAGAAAATGGTTGTTGGCGCCTTACATACAAAATTTAGAACAGCTGGCAAGCGTTGCTTGTGTTACCCCCTGGCAGCGGAGGCTGTGATTTTGCATTTTTCAGAGGAGTACGAGTATCACTGGAAGAGGAAGGACTTGCGCTGTTCTGTGGAGATCTAGTAAGTTGAGTGTACGAGAAGTTTTTGTTGGGGGTGAACCCTCTGTGGGGAAAAAAAAAAATCAGTCTCCGGGACTGGCAGATTTATCTGTGGTATCACGCTGCGCGCAGGGATTTTGTGAACTAAGAGAACTCTTCATATTTGTTAGATACAATAAATCACCCACATTCATAGACCAATGAACGGCTGTAATATCTAGTTTAGTATTGATACGTGTTTGAATGTCAGCGACACATTGTGAGCTCTGGGCGTTCGCGCAAGCCATCGTTACAGAAACCGATACACACCAAATCAAACATTGTGTAGTATAGTGGATGAATCAGAATTAGGCGGCGTGATGAGTGTCAGTCATAGGGATATACAGTAAAATGAAGAG